ACCTCGGAAATAAGACCTGCACTGCCAGGTGTGGTCGTTATGTTTTTACGTTTCTGGCCATGTACCGTTTGAGGATACCACCACGCGGTACAGGGTTCTATTCCACGTTTGTGTCTCAAGGAGCCAAGAGAAGAGATGTTGCAAGCAGTGCTCTGTTCAATGATTTCTGCTGACATCAAGCTCAGGAAGGGCCTATGATGCAATTTGCTGAGGGTGTGTCAACCGCAATGATGAGTCTTCCTTGCATCATGGAGAACATGTATTTGTTTCAGTAAGAACACTTCAACTTGGATTGAGATATACAAGGTTGCAAACACTGGTCAATGGCTTGGAAAACCCTTTGGAAAGCGAACTGTTGAGCTGAAGAAACACCTCCAACTAGTAGGTTCAGGCCATCGCTAGTAGGTTGGAGGCCATCGCTTGAGGCCATCGCTATGAGAAACAAGCAAATCGGAAAAGAAAGAAAGACTTATTAACAAAAGGAGTGGCATCGGCTTGGCACTTGCCTTCATGATCGCGATGACGGGAAGCGCTTTGATCTATCGCTCCGCACTGGGAGGGAAGAAGGACCGGTCCTTCATCTTCGCTCTTTCTCGAACAGTTCGTTGGATGTCTCAAACGCTCGCCAGGATCTTCTTGTGTTCAACCTGGGGGTGGTTCCCTCTTCTGCCAAGCTGGCCAAACGGATGAAGGCAGCGGCCCGTGGCCGTGCTTCATGGTCTCGTCTGATTGACGTGAAAACTCAATTGAATGCAAACACTCTCTCCTCTCTCGCGCTGTCTCCCCAGTGGCTTCGACACCAGAATCTTGGGGGATTTCCTTCCTAGAAGTTGGCTGGCAGGGACTGATGTCTTGAATCTCAGTGCATATTCTAGCAAAAAGTGGGATTGGTCACATGTTGATCCGTGAGGGGGATGGTCCAAAGCTGTTTGGTGAGTTTTTCTTCAGCTTCGGGGGCGATGAGTTTGCAGGAGATGTGTCTGATGTTGGAGAGAATGGACACGGAGGATGTTTCAACTGCGAGCCTTGAACTGCCAACGGGAGGAAAAGAAGAAACACGGAAAGTGGGTGAGTTGGATGTCATTTGGGTTATCCTATGCGGAGCAGCACTGAGCCGCGATGGCCTCCAACCTACTTTACTAGCGATGGCCTCCAACCGAGTAGCGATGGCCTCCAACATAAGAGCAATGGCCTGGTTTTTGGCTTTTCAAGTACCCAGTGCTCATGTGACTGGACATGAAACCCACTTGCTTCACTTCTTGATCGCTGCAGGCAAGGCTGCAGCTCGTCGCTCAGGTTTTTCCAACTTCATCGTGTCAAGAAATGCCTTGAGTTGCGGTTGGGGTTGGGGCTTCATTTCCCTTCAAATCACAAGTTTCAATGGAGGGGGGAAGTGCACCCCATCATCAGTGCACATGACCGCACACGTTTTGGGACACTGTTGGCCAACCAACAATTTGATCTTAAATCTGTCTGTATTTATATAACAAACAATTTGTGATTGAAATCGGGCAGGGCTCAGAGTATTCGATTCTTCGACGCTAGGCTTGCAGCTTTGGACGTCTTCGACATGAACAGAGTCACCACGACCATTACTCTCTTGGCCACCGAGGTGAACTGACAGTGTTCGACGATCTGGAACGGTAGTGCATCACTGCTAGTAGCAAGTGCATCGCTACTAGGAACTCTGAACCGTTGGTCTCCCTTTGAACACCTAGACTTCAGGACTCACAATGGACGGTCAAGGCTTTTGACCCACAGAGTCAATGGGGCATGAAGACACGAGCTGCAAGTCAAGGGACACGTCCAGGCATAGGAAACATCACAATTATATGTCTTTTCGAGAGGAGGGATTTAGTTGCTGCGTACCCTCTTCATTGATTGCTTGTACTCTTTCTCATCACGGATATGTCGCAACATGAAAGGCGACGCCCCAATGGCTTCTTGGGCTAATCCAACGGTGGTTCGAGAAATCACCCAAAGAAGAGGCCACGTCAGGAGCAGGTCAGCGCAGCAGGTCAGTCAGCAGTTTTTGCTCTGCTGGTGCCAGTGAAGTTGGTCCAAACTCAAACACTCGAACGAGGAGCGCGGCCCAAGTTCGTGCAAACGTGAGGACGGAAAGTTGATAGCCCAAGTCGGTTGAGTCTCCTCATTTATATCAAGTGCCAATAAAAAGTGGGTCTACTAAATGGACTTGACAACCAGGACGGACATGTTTCTTTCGAGAGGTGGCCCCACCTGCGGAGGATGCTGCGACTTACATGTTCAATCCGTGGCTTCACGCAAGCTGTCGCGGGTGAGAGGTTGAGAGGCCTGAGCATGAGACCCAAACGACGGGTGCATCTGGGATAGGCCAGAATCTGGGGGGGAGTCTTGCAGGACTGAGCACTTCAGCCGCCATCTCACCATTTCCCTTTCCCCAAGCAACCTTTGGTGTGAGTCTCGAGTTTTGGGGTGTAGAGATAGGAAATTGGAACATGATGCAACTTGTGACCTTCCAGGGCCGTTGACAGCTACAGAAATCCCCAAGTGAGAACCTGCCAGCCATTGTGTAGTAGCTCTACCGTTTTGATGTTCTTGGTCTTTTAAACACAGATTTCTTGCGAATATTCCCACCGAAATCCAACAAACACACCTCGAGACTTTGGACATTAGACGTCAACAAGCATCTTTTGCTTGCCAGATGGGTTGATAGCGGACCTTTCTGTGTCATGTGGCGCAAGAATAATGGGGAAGCGCCTGAAAGGATCAACGTGTCAATGTTTCCCTTTGGCCTCAGGTTTAATGCGCTTTGCAGAACGCCACTCAGGCGCATCAACTCGTCATCCTTTGACCCGGCCCTCGCCAAGAGCAAGCAATCACTGCGCTCACGCCGATCATCCCGCTTGCAGGCGGGTCAGTGCAGCACTAACAGGATTTCAGGACATGTATATAACATTATATAACTATATCGAGCCAGGAATGGCCACCTGCGATTGGAGTAGTTTTTGAACATGTCCTACGCAGGTATTGGTGCTTTGCAATTGTTTCGTTGTGGCCCATGGTCTAGGCCAACCTGGACAACCAGTTTCAGGCCGATGTTCCTGTGGTTGAAGAGGAGCATAAGCCGGGGACTTGGGATCACTCTCCAGGCATGAAGACCAGGTCACGATATAAGGGAGAGCTTAGGACGAGCTAGCTCGAATCCCCATCCAAATCCTTTTTCCCGAATGCGTAGCGAATGGTTCTCGTTTAACTCTGGGGGTCTGGGGGTAGAGCCTTGTTCGCGATGTGTTGTTTCTGCGTTGCGTCCGCAACCGTCCGACCGTTCGCAGTAGAGCGCTAAGGCGCTGCCATTGGGGGAAGCTTTTGGAGATGGTTTTGGATGAAATGTCAGATTCGTGTGAAATAGCGTGGAAATGTGTGGAAATGTAAGATGTTGAAGTGTGGAGGCTGAGTTCACTGCGCAGGCGCAGCGTTTTGTGAGATCCGCAGTTTTCTGCGCAGCTCCATTGGGATTAGCGTTTGGAGAGTGGTGTCTTTGGGGTGTTGGATGTGGCCGTGCCATTGGGGTTTGCGTTTCAGGGCGTTGCGCAGAAGCTCTGTTTTCGTGGCAATTCTCAGCTGAAATGGCGAGTTTGGTGGATGGGAGTGTGCTCAGGACGGGTCGAAATCATTCCAAACGTGTGGTGTGGTGCAAATTTTGTTGAAGCTCACATGACATGATGCGGTCACTTTTCGTGGCAGGCGCAGTACTTTGTGCAGGTTTTGAGGTGTGGAAGTGCGATTTTCGTGGCAGGCGCAGGGAATCGTGAGGTTGCGAGGTGACGGAGGTGACATTTCGTGGCAGGCGCAGTACTTTGTGCGCGTTAGACGTGTGGACGTGGCAAGATTCGTGGCAGGCGCAGGGAATCGTGAGGTTGTGAGTTGTGGTAGACTTCAAAAGTCCAACCAAAACTCACCTCTCGCCCGGCAAGTCCAAGCAAAACTCAAAAGTTCAAGGCAAAGTCGAAGCAAAACTCACAGGTTCAAAGGAAAGCTCAAGCAAAACTCAAGGAGCTATGGAAACCAGGGAAGCGCCCGCTCAGCGAGTTTTGGGCGAGCTTTGCGCGAGCTTTTGACGAGCTTTGGTAGAAGAAAACTAGACAAAAGCTCAAATCGAAGCTCAAAAACTGAATGCGCACGAGCTTTTCACGAGCTTTCTGCGAGCTTAGCTCAAAATAAACTAGCACCGAACTGGCGTGTGAGCGGGTGTTGCTTGGAGGGGCTGGAATCGCGAAACTGCTTGGCAGGGGTGTGTGATGTGTGTTTGTGTGTGCTCCGATGGGCGTTTCCGCTTGACTTTTGGAGGAAGTCTCGTCCGAAACGCTCGTTTTGCAGACTTTGACATGTGAGTTTTTGAGGACGTCTCGTACGAAACGCTCGTTTTGGAGACTTGACGTGTGACTTTTTGAGGAGTCTCGTACGAGACGCTCGTTTTGGAGACTTGACGTGTGACTTTTGGAGGAAGTCTCGTACGAAACGCTTGTTTTGGAGACTTGACGCGTGATTTTTGGAGGAAGTCTCGTGCGAATCGCTCGTCTTGCAGACTCGAAGCGTGACTTTGGAGGACGTCTCGTACGAAACGCTTGTAGTGTATGGGCCGACCGTGTGGCGAAATTACGTTCGTGATGTCGCAGTGCCAGTGGGAGTTGCGTGGCCTTGGTGGGAACTGCGTTTGCGCGGCGCCGTGCCACTGGGGAGCGCGAAACACGCTGCTGTAAGCACGGCGTGTCGCTGGTGAGCGGGATGATTGGCGGTGTTTGAGTGGCACCGTGCCACAGGGGAGCGCGAAACATGGTGTAAACGCGGCGTGTCGCTGGTGAGCAGGATGATTGGCGGTATCATGTGATATGTTTGCTTCTAGTGTGTGGACAGACTGTGTGGCGAAATTACGTTCGTGACGTCGCAGTGCCACTGGGATTTGCGTGGCCTGGGTGGGAAGTGCGTTTGCG